AAAATAATGGTACTTTGAAATGAAAGAAGGGGAAGAAATGAGAAATGAAACAATAAAAAAAGATAGAGGTGGTAGACAAATATTTGGGATACTAGCTTACAAGTAGAAATACAAAAGTATCAGATAATGACTGTAAATGCACAGATATTTAAATGTAGCATGGAATATAAAGAAGAGGGGTGGAATGTATGATATTAAGCAGAAAATTCGGGTCTTTGACATGTTAGTTGGATTAGTTTTAATGTAAGAGGTAGAAATATGAGAATTGAATATAAAAAGAAAAGGTAGAGAAGCTGCAGAGAAGATAAATGAAATGGATAGAAATATACTAAATTTTGTATGGCAATTAGAAACGGGAAGATTGAATATGTGAATAAAAGGTATGTAGAAAGTTTGGGGATGTGTTACAGAAGTAATAAGAGTGAAGATAAAAGATGGTCAAAAATATTTTATTAGAGATAATAAGAATTGAAAATAATATGAAGTAGAAATAGAGGATTGAAATATTATTAGAAGGTGCTAAAAGTATGGAAATAATAAAGATAATTAAAGTGCAAGTATATATAAGAGCTTTACAGTAAAATATAGAATAAATAATGAGGATGAAGGCAGAACAAAATATTCAGAAGAACTGAAGTGCAATAGAATAATATACTTAGTGTATGTATTATAAAAGTAGATGTGTAATATTTTAGAGAGCTAGTAAAAAGAAAATATATTATGGACTGGATTAAGATGTGGAAATGTTCATAGAGCACATAAAAAATGGAGGAGTCTAGAAGATTGGAAATGTAAAATAAGAGCGAGACAATGGAACCTGAAAGAGAGTGTGAAAAGATTAAAATAATAATATGAATGGATTTTAAGAAACAAAAATACTTGGATGATGGTGAAAGGAAAAATAAAGAAATAGGAAAGTGATATAAAAAATTGAAATAAATAGATATTAAAAAATGTAAGTAATGATACAGAATTAAATGGAAAATGTATGTAAAACGAATTATGATAAATCTATTTTATAAAATTATGTACCCTCTCTAAGGAAAATAAACTCAATTCAATAATGTCAATATACAACGGAACTGCTTCCCGTGATGTCACACAATATTTCTATTTACCTTGCCCATCAAATTGATTTAATGTTTTTCATCGACTCTTCTTGCTGTGATTGGCCTTTGGATAGTTACGTCTGTATATCTTATATGCAACTGTCTACTGATAGGATCTTTCAGAAGGTTTTTATGAATAGCCTTTTTCGGATATTACGTTTGCATTTTATCAAAT